TGCTTCACGAGCAGATAAAGCGACAGAAACGAAAATTGCATCGAACCAAAAAGACACTTAAAAGAAAAATGGTCAAAATTTAGTTACATTTCAAATCTGCATCCAAGAGAAAATAAAAAGCTGAGGCGCATTTCAGTTATCTCAGAGTTTTAGGGGAAAGCTGGAGCAAGCAGTGATGTTTTCAGTCTGAATTTAAGGGAGCTAACAGTTTTATTCTAATAAATGACACTAAAGCAATGTCTAACCTCCTGAAAGCAAAAATAATTACTCAATTTTACAATTTGAAAGTAAATAATAATAATTGAACTTTATTGATCTCCCACCAGATAAATTTTACCTCTGTGTTTAACCCATCCCCTTGGGGAGCAGTGGGCTGCCATTGTGCGGCGCCCGGGGAGCAGTGTGAGGTTAAGGGTCTTGCTCAGGGAACCAGAGTCCAGGCTGTGGGGATTGAACCGGGTGATTGCAACCTTCTCAGTGCACAAGCGCACTGCTGTAACCACTACGCCAAAACTCCCCCAACCTTTGCATCTGGCAATTATTTGAACATATAGTAAGTTAATTTAGTAACAGACAGTACCTGGTTATTTAAATTTAGATCTGAATATTAAAACAATAAACACCAAAAATGTTCATTTTTTGCAATTGTAATGGACTGTGGTCATATGGTGACACAAAAAGAAGCGATGTTATGTACCTGCACAGTCTGAATAAGCTGTAGCATATAGATATCAAATAAAAATGGGCCAAAAGTGGGACTCTGAAACTAAATTATATGTGATCCATGTTTGTTGATTTAAAATAATCAAACTCGCAATATGACATCAGTGTAACATATACTCAAATATTCTAGTGGGAACATGTCGTTTTTCAGAGCTAAAGTGGGGCTTCACAAGGTTATAATTATTTGTCCATTAATGAGAAGCATGCTATTCCTCCTCCTGGTGTCAACACAGCAACATCACAATGGGGCATCTCAGGACTCTTGGAGGCCCTCATTAACTCCTTGGCTGCTTTCCCACACATGCCAGGGGATTTGTGTTTGTGTTGATAGCAGTGAGTTTTATTCACCATAGCCTAGTGAGTGATTTGTGTGGACTTTTTCATACCTCTGTGGAGTCGTATATATGCACCAATATCGTAAATTCTAGACAAGTTACCTGTGTCCCAATGTTCAAGTGAAAGTGAGAACCCTAAGACTTATCTCTCTTGTGGGGTTTCAAGGACCATTTATTTTTTTACTTAACTTTTTGAATTAACGGTTCGCTGCGAATCTATCCATTCCAACACTACAATCTTAAACACATCCATGCCTTTTCCTCTCTCCGCACAGCAGCTGACTGGATTTGCTGCTGTGCTTCGAAGGGCCTCCAGTGTCCCATTGTCACAAAGCAAGAAAAAACAAAGTGAATTGAGTTCTCATTTCCCCAGTAAAATAACCCAACTACATGAGAGCAGGTCATCTTTGGCCAGCAGCCAAAGTCTCCATTAGGGCCTCGTTGAAATCCTTTTGCTCTATGTGTGTGTGCGGGGTCAGAAATGGTTTAGTTTTTGCTGTATGAGCTACAGGCAGTCTTAAGCTTATGGTTGCCTTGATTTCCACTTTAAGACAAAAAACAAAGAATAGGGAGTTGTTCACGTAACAATGACAAAAAGATCATGAGCAGCTCCTGCTTTTTTGTTGCAGTAGCTTCCTTTTTTTTGTAATGTTTCCTGCTTCACTTGTTGAAAAATGACAACAGTACTTAAGGCGTTCTTCTTATCACTGCTTTTATGAAGACCAGATTTATAGAGAGCATGACTAAATGTCCTGTCAGGAGATCCTAAAGTAGCAGCCTTTCAAAATAGACCTTCCCAGTCAAACATCAGTTGAATGGCAGCTCACTTCCCTGCAAAATCCCCTCCAACTTCCAGCCACTGGAGTGACCCCCTCTTTCTCCTGGGCATGCATATTGTTTTTACTCTTGACGCCTCCATTTTACTGAATTACAGGTCTGACCAGGAGATGGTGCTTCTCTTTAGATCTTACTCCTCCAAAGTTAACATGTGACTCTCGGCTGCCTACTTACTTGCCCAGTCTGGCAGTTACATCAGTTGTCAGAAACCTTTTAAAAACCAAATACGTACACATTTTTGCTCTCTTCCCTACTAAATAAGTTTTCCCAGAGTACCAAAACTAAAACTGGGGAATCAGGGATTTCATTCTCTAATATAAACATTTTTGAGTAAAAAAGTACAGTAAAGTAATCATACTACTGTACACAGAACTGTTTGCCCTCGTATTTTTTTTTTTGGCATGTTTCTCACTCTGAGGTGTTTTAAGAACAAAAAAAAACATTTCAATCTTTGCTAAAGACAACAGGAGTAAACACAAAATGATGTTTTTAAATCAAGGCTTTTAACATTATGAGATCATAACGCAAGTTCCAGAGTTTTTGCAGAAATGTACCTCCCCTGGTTACAAGGTGAAATGACAACACTGTTGGGAACACGCATGGGAGAAGAGAAAACTGTCATTTATTTAGAAGCATAATGTCATCTGTGGCAAAAAAGTTACATATATATGGAAGTCATTTTGAACAGAGCATCTTACCATTTTAGCAACAGGAGGGAAATTACCATGGCACATCTCTGCTCCCTTCTAGTTGAAGTTTCCCACTGTTTACTGTTGTTTTATTCCATTGTGGATCAGACTGCAATTTGGCCCTTTTTTCACACTAGACAAAGTTTATTTTCTCACCCTTCTGTTGAGTCTTTGATTGGGTTTGAGAGCTGGTCTTTTGCAGAGATGGGAAGTAACGAAGTACAAATACTTCGTTACTGTACTCAATTATATTTTTCTGATATTTTTACTTTACTTTACTACTTATTTTTAATGGCGACTTTTTACTTCTACTCCTTACATTTTTACACAAATATCTGTACTTTCTACTCCTTACATTTTAAAAAATTGGCTCGTTACTTTAGTTTTAAATCATTTCAATGGAGTTACCGTTATTATTTTTCACGTCATCAATACCAAATTTAATCTAATTGGATGGGAATCTACGTTGCATTTGACGCACCACTACAAGATGAATCGACAGATTCGGCGGTATTCATTCGCAGCAAATCATTGCAGCTTGGCGGCGGTGGCGTTAGCATAGTAGTATGGACGACGAGATGATTGAAAATGAACACAAAGGAGATCTAGTCCTATTGGCAGACATCCATGTAAAATGTAGGCAATGGCATGAAAAAAGTGGTTTCTACTTTTACTTTTATACTTTAAGTAAATTTACAAGCCTGTACTTTGTTACTTTTACTTGAGTAAAGAAGTTTAATCAGTACTTCCACTTTTACCAGAGTATTTTTTTAACACAAGTATCTGTACTTTTAATCAAGTACGGAAAGTGAGTACTTTTGTCATCTCTGGTCTTTTGTGATCCATCTTCACAAACTCTCACCCCTGTAGTCTCACTGCAGCAGTACTCACACTCTTCATCTCCTGCTGTATCCAGGGTCTATGGTAGCAGTCTCAGTCCTCCCCAAAAACCACCTCCAGCTCTACCCCAGGCACTCCGAGGCCAGCCAAGAAAGATTGTCTCCCTAGCGCACTCTGGGTCTTCCTCCTGGAAGGACGACCTTGGAGATCTCAGTGGTGCAAGATGCACTTTGCTTTTGGGGGTTTTAGATAAACAAAACACAGCAAAAAAAGTATGTTCATGTTTCCCACTTTTAGATCTGTTAAGCGTATATTTTCATATTATGGCAGTCTCTATTACACCTTAACACTTTGTAACCTCCACTTTAATAGGTCATTTGAGTGAAATGCCCATCTTGAACCCATTACACGCACTGTTAGCTGAACCAAAACCAAGCTCTGCTAGTTGTCGGATTCTGCTGCAAGCTACAAGGTTAATGCATAATTTGGCAGTTAGGGGATTAAACACCTGGAAAGCTGCCATAAGTGCATATGTTACATTACTCATCAGCAGCTCCGGAGTAAATATGCAAGGATGCTAAGATAGATTTGCTTACTCCTGGGACTCATGTCTCATTAGTCAGACAAATTATCATTCTGACTCTGTAATGTAGTCGTATCTTGTGGATTCTTTATTTTGTCACCCAGGGCTGAAGAATATTTATAACTGTAAAACATTTTACTTGATGATTATATCTGAAGTCCCTTTAATGTCAGGGTACATGAATTGTCACCTTAAGACATCCTAAATCCAATTTTACTTAATATTATTATTGTTTTAATGTCGGGAATAGGAACCACATTGGATGGATTGCCTAACTGCTCTTTTAATCACTTTACAGCAGAATCGATGCAGATGAATGTGATCTGCTTCACTTAATCTTGTAAACAATCTCCATTTTTCAGTGTGCTTTGCAGTCTTTTAAATCAGGGTTATTTTTTTCCTTATGCATGGTTTCACAAATGTGTTGCATAAGGCTGAATTTGATCCTTTAGAACAAGGCTTAATGGAGTAGATTGATGATTTTATTACGTCGGCTTTAATGGGGTGTAATATCCCTATATTTAGCTCACTGTCTGAATACTGACATCCGATGGAGGCAAAGACTGCTGAGTTTGCACCAGCAGCAATCAACCTCAGATGGGCTCATTGCGGCAGGCTGCACAGCATCTGCATGCAGTCACCGATACAGTGCTGCCTCCAGTGGACGCAGAGGAAAACAGAACAATTGGTCCTGATCTGCATGAATGAGTGAAGCTTTGGCATTTTGGATCAATTCCCAGGACATAGATGCTTTGTCTGTGTTTCTGCTTTGCTGTGCCCAAGTTACCCTGATTGATAGTGAGATGCAGGCTCTCCATATAAAGAGGCAGGCCTACTTTTTTCCAGGGAGGAGGCCAGTGATCTTGATGATCTAACAGTGAAGCATATTAGTTACCAGACTATCAAAATAGACTATTTTAAAAACAAACCGCAGTACATATCCACACATAGCATTTTTATTACTCATATTAAACATAACTTATTTCTTCTCAGGGCTTTTTTCCTGGATCAGTCCAACATACCACCCAGCACTACACCCAAAGCCGCCCTCATAGATAAGGTAAGACTTGGCCTCATTTTGCATCAGTAAAACAATCTATTTGACTTTAGGGCCTCACATGTGCTTACAACAGCCAGAAGTTTACAAGCAACCATTATATGCATAAATATTTAAATAAGTATGGGCTTTTAAAGATGCATATGAATCTTTGTTTGCTTATGTTACAGCTCAAAATGTTATAAAGAGTAAAAATAGGCAGTTTGATTTCACTCAGATCGTGTTTTTCTTTTATGTTATTTTATATTTAACATGGCTATACTGTAGATTTAATTCAAGCTGAACTAAAGATACAAGCTCAAATAAATAACTGAATAACTTTTCCTTACCAGAAAGCAAACGAACCTTAGTTTTTGTCGAAATGAGTAAAGAACCGGCATATTTTACTTTTGTCTTCATTACAGTTGATTACCTCGAGTTCCTAACTCGGTTCAGCCACATTAAAATAAAAGGCTCCATGTTCATAATGTTCATTTATCACTATTTTGTCAGAAATTATGGAAAAACATTTATATAAACACCCCAGCGTCATTCAAAATGTAGCCTTCTAATTATGTCATTGCCCAAAGTACTGCCCTTATTCAGGTATGGCAATGGTTTATTCAACAAAAGAGTTATTTTTAATTCTTTTATTACCACCAAATCACTGCATATGGGGTGTGTCAGCAATTTGTTTTTCTCCTTTTAAATTGTCCCTGCAACTTTGAAGACTTTTCAGTCTTCAAAGTTGCTTTTCAGTAGCTGAAAGGTTACATTTTCTAGGACAAAATTCCCAACTGATGGCTGATTTTTCCATAATCCTAAATCTATTAAGTCAAAATGAATTGAGATTGTCTTTATATCATTGTAGACATGGTTGGGTGCTTACCCACTGGATGGTACAGTAGGAGAGGGTATTTAAAAGCTCCACTCCATCTCCTGTCCATAAACAAAAAAACAACAACTAAGGCTTTGTTCACACTGCAGCCTGAGCTGACCCAAATCCGATTTTTTTTGGCCCATATGCAACCTGAATCTGATCTTTTAATGGCAGTCTGAACAACACAGATCCGATTTTTTTCCAATGCGACCCAGGCCACATGGCTATGTGGTCCTGAATCTGATACAAAGCTGATCTTTTCAAATGCGACCTGTGTGTGAATGGCCAGGTCGGATTCATCCGACCTGAACGTCATTAATACCCGACAAAGGTCACTATTCTGCGTCTTGCTACGCAGAAGCGGCAGGAACAACAACAACAATGGCAGATGATGATGCGGCAAGCAGTATTTATGTTTAACCATATTGAAAAGATTTTGTTTTTATGGTTGGAAAAGACCGCTAGATGGGCGCCAGCACTACCATCCATGTTTACTTACGTAAATGCGGCACACTTGCGTTGTATGAATGCAGTTCACACAGGAGATCACATACAAGTGGCATTTATGTGGAAATATGAACGGCAACGCAAAAAAATGGGTTTTCACAAAAAAATCGGAATTGAGCATCAAGGCCTGCAGTGTGAACGTAGCCTAAATGTACACATTTTAGCTTGAACGTTTTAAGGTTTGGAGTTTTAGCTTACTATTTTACCTTAGTATATTACCTGTGTATTAAGTGAAGCTGAAGACTGCATAGTCATCAATTATTTTGCCATGTCAGAATTCACATTACAACAGTGGTCTCCCTTCCTAGAAAAGAGAAAGTGAGGAAATCAAAGAGGGGATCACTTTAATATTAATTAAAATATATTGGAAAATAGTCATAGAATACTGCAAGAAATGTTTTAATAAGTAATACCCTAAAAAACAAACAAAATGTTTTTAGAAACTAGAGTCTTGGATAAAAATGAGACATTTCTATTAAGCATTTTAATAGTGTCCAGAGAGAAGGAAGTACCAAATCTGACAACATGGTGGGAAATAACATCGGATATTTATAAAATGGAAAAGATGACCACTGCTATAAACAACAAGCAGGAATAGTTTAAGTCATGCTGGGAGAAGTGGATTGAAAAAAAATTCAAAAAGGCTCAGCTTTATTTGGAAAACGTGAGTCATTTGATTATGATGACTAATGGTACCTCCCTGTTCAAATTTTGTTCCCTTATTCTTATTTATTTCATTTACTTTTGAGATGGGAATGTGAATCAATCTGGAACAACACTGAGAAAAAAGAAACATACACACACAAAATATATATATATATATATATATATATATATATATATATATATATATATATATATATATATATATATATATATATATATATATATATATATATATATATATATATATATATATAATGCCGATGTTAAATGTACCAGTCAATTTAAAAACACTAAAAGCTTCCTGGCCTATTAGAGCTTTATGATCTGGAACAATTTTATGAGTTTCCCTCTGAACCATTTTGGCTGGCTAAATTTTTTCCCGTTATCCTGTGCTCTACTCTGCTGACTTTTTTTCTGTCCAGTTGATGCGACCTCTCAATGCTCTGGAGGAACTCTACCGTCTGATGGAGAGCTTTATCAGGTGCCGCCGTACCGCTGCCTGCCAGTACACAGCCTGTGGGGCTTCTGGTGTGGGGCTCCTCACTGTGGCGTCTGAGCTCTGCTCCCGTCTGGGAGCCACGCACGTCGTCATGTGCAACAGTGGTGTTCATCGGTGAGTCCAATCAGCCAATTAAAATGCAGTGAATTGTTTTAGATCTTGGGGCAGGAGAAATGCAGCACAGACCTGCACAAAGCCCATTTACACAGCGTTCACCTTTGCCATTTTACTCTACAGATTCAGTGCTGCTAATATCTTCGATTAGAGCCCCACTTTGTGTGAATTAACGCCAGGTATTCTTGTTAATTAGCCTCTTTGGTTTTCAATCCAAATTAAGGACTTTAAGGAGGCAGAGCCCTTTTTACACAGGAAGGCGACAGGTCAATTACCTCCTTTTTCATTGAATTCTATATGAGGTTCTGCACCTGTCGCTGGGGGTCTCATTCATCAGTGCTTGAAGACGGAAATATCCTGATCGTTTGTCACCCCTGATCCCCAGTTGCTGCTTTCATCTTCATCTCTAACTCCTTCACCCCGCCTGCTCACCAATCTCTCTGATACCATCTTTTCCTCACCCTCTGACAGTTTCCATATCTTTTTGTCTCCTTCTCACCCACCAGTGCGCCCATGCATTCTCTGCGTATGAGTGATGGCTTGACGAAGTGCTGCAATGGGAGGCAACAGCTCGCCTTAGCTTTAATCCAAAGTTTCTGCCTGTGCAATGAGTTCCACGACTTTATTTACTCACAAGTTGCATATATAACTGTGTTTTCTTTTTGAGCTGATTCAACTCCGTCTGACAGGGAGTCACAGTACACCGTAACATCAAAGTTGTCAAATCCCGTCATATTTAGGGTTATTTGGGTTGTGGTTCCTTAGAAATTACCTAAAGCTGAAGAAGGAAGACCGAGGAAGTGAAAATTAAACCTTTTCATGGAGCCAGATTACTACAAATACCAACACATCACTTTAAGTAAAAAGAAAAAAAAAGCAAGCAAGTGAAAAAGAAAACGAAACCAAGACAGTTGATTAGTAGTGTGAAACTGGATTCAGCAATGTGGCAGTCATCTAAGGCTGAATTGATTGGATTAGTTGATCTGATGGATGAGTTTTAATAAAAGCTGTTCCCAATTTGCAGCATATCTCTCCCATCCAGCTTTCTTTGCTCATCACCCACACATAAATTAGAACTTGGTGTCGGATCAGTTTTAGAGACACCTTTTGCTATGTTTACAGCTGCACATCTTTTAGGATTACATTTCTAACAGCTTTGCACAACTAGAGACAGATATTTTTACTTATTCCTTTTTTTTTTAAAACCCTTAAGCTCAATCAGATGGGATGAGAGACTGTGAACGGCGCTGCAGAAGGAGATTTGTGTTGCCTGAATGCTTAATTCTACCATCAGCCTTGATTAGCTTCCCTCTACTTGCAGAAGAGAAGCAGCAAACACCATGATACTGCCACCACAGTCGTTCACTAGGGCAAAGCCTAGCTTGCGTGATGAACGACACCTACAGCATCCATACGGATGTGCAGTGTTAGCTTTCATCTCACCCACTTGTTCTTCATGGTTAGACCAGAGATGGGCAACTCCAGGCCTCAAAGACATGCAGAAGAGTTGGCATTTGAGTAATACTGTCCATCCCTGATGCAGACCAAAATAATTTACTGTGTTCTCATTTCAGTCAGTAATAATCTAGTGTATGATTAGAGGTTGTCCATAATTGGCCGGTCAGTTTACTGTAGCTGAAAGAAAACTATGCTTATTTTTCTTTTATTATATGCCCATTGTATGAATGCATATTGTATTATTTTTTTTTCCTTTTGTATTTGATCTGTTTTTCCCTTCCTTCGTCTTTCACATATTTCCTCTTGGACTATGTTCTCCACTTTGGGTGTAAATGGGATGTGTTGGAACGACATAAAACAGATGGATATAAATCATCTCCCACTATCTCTCCAGCCCTAATGAACCTAGAAACTACGCTTCGTGCACACATACACAGATTTTGTGCATTTCCTTCATCCTGCTCCAGCTGACAAGATATTTAAAGATTCTCTCCGAGTGATTCCCCCACCCCCTCCTCTTCGTCGGCATAGAACCTAAAATGGGTGCTTAAAATATTCTGAGGTTTGAACTGTGAAAGGACATATTTTGCACCTCTTTAGTGTGTTACTACCTGATGCATCCTCCTGATGATTGTTAGGTTCATTACTTTTATCACACTGTCAGGCCTGTCATAAAGTTATGCGACTGAATCCCAGGGGATAAAGTCTTGATCTGATTGACTTCAAATAAGGACTTCTGGCAGCTATACCACCCCTGACGCACATCTGCTTGTTTTTTTTTTTTTTTCCCCTTTCTCATTTAGAGATAATAAACAAACAGCTCAGATTTCCTAATAACTCCATGGTGGTGGTTATTGAATGAAAGCAAACCTTGCAGCCTCAGAGCTTTGGACAGTTTAATTTGGAGTGAAAAGACCCAATCGATACACAGGCGCTTCTTGGTGTCAAAGAAAGGTCAACTGAGCAGCTTTGACACTTGTCACTGCCTCACTAAGGATTTATCAATGAGCAGCATTGTGTTTGTGTGTGCTAAGGTGAAGACCAGAAATCTGAATACACACAGCGTAGAAAATAAGTTAGCCTGATTAAAATAATTATATATTATAAATATATTCAACAAATTTGAAATGGTGCTTGGTTTACTAAAATGAAAATGGCAGGTAAAGAGTATGTAAAGCATGATGGGAAATTAGAAGCAAAAATGCATAGCTAGCCAATAAAAAAGCTGATTGTATTTAAAAGCAATCCTGCTTCACATTAGCTGTTTTACACATTAGTGATGGTTTAGCACCAACCACTCTTATACAGTATGCTGGTGTTTAATATGGCAAAACATATTTATGGTATTGATTATGGTGGCATTTTTGAACTCCTAGGTCTTCACCTTTAGTGCCCTTCTTTAGAGTATTTTACCGTTAATCTTCCAGAAAAGTTCTGACAGAGTAATCCAAATGAATAATTTTTAAGAGTTATATGAGACAGTGGTTTTTCGAACTGGGTCCTCGGGACTGACCGCCCGGCATGTTTTATATGCATTTCTGCTGCAGCACATCTGCATAAAATGATTGAATGGGTGATAAGCAGGCCCCTCACCAACTTAGTTAAGTCGTGTGTGAAGAGGTGGGGAAATATTTAAAACCTGCAGGACAGTGGGTCTTGAGGACAAAGTTTGAAAACCAGTGATCTAAGGCTACATTTATACTGCAGTCTAAAGTGACCCAAATCCGTAAGCCTATATGCAGCCTGTACAGTATCTGATCTTCTCATCACAGTCTGAATACAGAGTTGATTTTTTTCCTCAATGCGATCCAGGTCACTTGGCTATGTGGTCCTGAATCTGCTCTTTTCAAATGCAACCTGTGTCTGATCGGCCACATCGCATTCATCCAACCTGTATTCCATTAATACTCAACAAAGGTGACTATTCTGCGTCTTGCTACGCAGAAGCAGGGAGAAAAAAAATAACCATGGCAGATGATGAGGCGGATCTTTATTTTCAACCTTCTTGAAAAGATTATGTCTTTAATGCACTATCTGAGGTTGGGAAAGAAATAAAATACTGCAAGATGCGCTCCAGCACTACCATGCATGTTTACTTCCATAAATACAGAGCAGTATTACACCTATGTTTGGAAATGTGAACAACCACGCAAAAGAATCGGATTTCACACAAAAAAAAAAAAAAAAAAAAAATCAGAATTGAACATTAAGGCCTGCAGTGTGAACATAGCCTAAGAGACTGGAATCATTAGCAAGCTATTCAGAAAAAACTGAAAAACTACTAATGCAGTCAGTTGCAATGTACTATATAAATGCACACTACAAGACTGTACAATCCAAAAACATAACAGATAAGAATTTTAAAACAGCTGATCCATATGCTCCACCTTTCAACATTTGATTCTCATGATTTTTATGACATAGAATGAATGGAGAACTGATTATGTACAATATTAACAGCAATCTGAGGAATAAACTCTTTACTAAAACAGGGATCCCAGATGGATTCTAGAAAGCTGGTTTCAGAAAAAGAAAATAAAGCTGATTGAGTGGCTCAGTAAATGATGCTACTTAAATCATATAAAGGTTCTGCATAAAGAACTGATTTTATATGGGTTTTAATTGGGTCTCACTTGTACAATGCATGTCATTAATTTCTCCTTACAGGAACCATCTGAAAGTGATTGTTTCCTGAAAAGGTTTCCGTGTATTTCAGTTCACAATCTCATTTATGGATTATCTAGTGATTAGTATCCGTTTGTTTAATAGCATGAATAGTGTCACACTATTTTGGTGTGAATTCATTGTTAATAGTCCCATTTGAAACTATTTTGCTCAGAAATCAATTGTGTTCAATATTTACTACAGTACGTATTTTATCCACTGTACATGACTAAAAACGACATTTGCTGCAGCTAATGAATCACAGGCTCATGTCAAGACTCCTTTAACACACATTACATGCTTATGTGAATCTCTCCCAAACGAAACACACTGACTTGTCCTTGGACCCTTTTCCTCTTCACCACAGTAAGCATAAATCTTGAGGAGTCTCTTCAGGTGCTGACAGACAACCTCTAGCTTCAGTCTCCTTCTGCTCATTCTAATAAAAACCCAAAACATTAGCCATGGAGGCTTTTTTAAGGCTCAGAAGATGCATGTTTCCTTGCTGTGACTAACTCAGCGAGGAAATGAGCAAACACCAAGCAGGAGGGATAAAATGGTAATGACGGCTTACAAAAAATAACCAAAATATGCTCATGCAAATGGGACATGCTTGAAATAAATTTTAACTTGCCTTCTGTGGATGGAAGAAAAGACATTTTAGCATTCTCTTTGTTTTTCGTTCATGTTTATCCTCATTTGGACTAAATACATTTTTAAGATTAAATGGGGTTGGAAGTTAAACATAGCTGAGCTCCTTGACTTTCAATTAGAGACTCAAAGTCTACACTTGTGTTCTTATCCAACCTACAGATGCACTTTGAGTGTCACATTGGAGCAGGCTATCCTGTTGGCTCGAAATCATGGCCTTCCCCCCCGCTGCATCATGCAGGCTACTGATGTCATGAGGAAACAGGTAAGACAGTCATTGACCAAAGATGACTTTGCCAAAGAAGCTGACTGTTAACACTGTCTTTCATTCAAGCTTGTGGAACAAAAATGGTCTACAAGTTATTTGTAAAGCTGCAAACTTTAAAGAGTTGTTAAGAGTTTGCCTAACATCACAAAATATGCTTTATTTATATTTATTTTTTTATTTATCCTTTATTTAACCAGGTAATACCCATTGAGATTAAAAATCTCTTTTGCAAGGGAGACCTGGCCAAGATAGGCATCAAAATTACATCACATCATTACATACGTACAAGACACACACATAAAAGCCAAATATGCACTTACAATAAAATTTCAATTAAAACATTGACATGTGAGGGAGTCTAACTCAAAACATCTAATTCTCAGCTTAAAAGTATTCAAAGGAACCAATTTACTAAGTTTCAAGTTATTTTGCAGCAAATTCCATGTAAAGGGAGCAGAGTAAGCAAAGGCCTTTTTACCCAGCTCAGTACTGACACGTGGGACAGAAAACAAGACAACAGCCTGAGAACGGAGAGAGTAATGACTTTTTTTCATAAGAAATGAACATAAATAAGATGGAAGCGCACCAAGAATAGCCTTATATATTAATAGAGGTGATGATGCGAGGAACCAACCTTCAATATCCAATCTGTCTCTGAAAGTAAAATTTTGGGGATTTCTTAATGTTTTCTGCAAGGCATTTGCCCACACCATGAAAACATCCATTATGGGCATTAAAGACCTTTTTATAATTGTGCTTGATGGATAAGTAAATGTGCTAGACTGCTACCCCATAAAATAATCGTATTTAGGAAGAATAACAGACACCAAACCAAACAATGCATTGCTAGTTAAGGAAAACCACAAGGAAAATTGCATTGATGCAGACGTTCACGCTAAAAGCATGAACCTGCCAAATGCTGCAGTGAAACTGGGAAAAGAAACTCTGTTTGTTTATATATGTAGCACTGACCTGAAGGTAAATGTTAGAACAGCCGCTAACTAGGCTGTGTTATATGCTCTTCGTTTTGCTCTAAACCATTACAGATCATGGATCTTTTCTGCAGACATAATTGTTTGCTGCAGTTAGTATCTGTCTCTTTTTAGATTTAGGACCCAATATTCAAGCAGACAGATCTGGAAGATTTGAAACAATTCTTTAAGCAGTAAGCACGCAGCAGTTCTTCAGTTTGGGCGGCTAAACCGTATCCTCTGTAGGAGTAGAAAATCAGGTCAGTGACTCAGAAGTAAAGGCTGACAAGGGCTAACAGCAATAGTCACTGACCTGGTTTAGAGTTCAACCCGATCTCAGAAGAAGGAAATGGATCCGAGAGGGAAATTGTCTTCCGCTTGCGGCAGTTGCCGCCCTCCAGAGCTCCAAGGGATGTCCAGAGCTGATGCCAGCCGACGCCGAGGGGCAACGGTGTCCAGAAGGGGACATCCTGAGCTGAAGTTGAAGGAGAACCAGGTTTAGAGACAAGAAAATCGGAGAGCCGGGGCGGTGCAAAATGAGTATCCAAGCCGAGGTCAGAAGAACAGTCGAAGTTCAATAAGCCGGTAGAATCCAGGGATAAGTTCAGACAGATCAGACTACCAGAGCAGACAGGGCCAAAGCAAAACTCGGGATCCACAAGACAGAAACAGGTCACATAATGAGATAATGAGCGCAGGGCAGAGCAAAGCAGATGAGTGAAAAGTAGAAAAAACCCTGCTTATGGTGCCAAGATCATGACATGTGGACCACATAGTCCAGTGGACCAACTAGTCCACCTCCTGTCAAGGTTGACCATATTAACCTTCATGTGAACTTGCAAAATATTCATCCCTTTAAAAATGTAGCTTTACATAGGCAGTTAACAGCCCGCAGGGCTGATTTCCCTTTAACTTTAAAACATGCAGCTACTTCTATTATATCACAAACATAATTAGATCAAAGATGAAAGGTCCTTACTGGGAGCCTAGAACTGTAGTGGGTTTTATAGGCTTTAGTTTGGTCATCTGACTGATTTCTGATTGGCTGCACCTCAATCTGCTTGTCCTTTCTCTAATCTTTTCTTCTATTACTGCTTTATGAGAAAAAACATATATATACATATATAACCATGTAAGGAAGCTCTGAATTTAAGGGAAAAATGTCAGCCTAGAATATTTTTATGGAAAAAAACTCTCAAGCTTCAGTCCTGACTGTTTTGCATGTGTGTTTCGGGTCAAGGGTGGAAATTCCATCTTTTCTTAAGCACATAGAGATTTTCACTCTATAAAGCCCTCAGCCGTGACCAAATCTTGGCTAGCTGCTTCGTGTCTTTTTTTTTAAAGTGTAGTCTGGATGGTTATGTAGCTGCTTGAAATGGAGAAGTCAAACAGCTAAGATTTTGCATAACTTTAAATGTTTTAAGTTGTAGTCTCAGAAAAAAATGAGATTTTAGCGGTGTGGACACCACTCTATTGTGTGGGATTTTGTTTTCCGATTTTTTTTTTTGTCACATTGTGTACAGTTTATCAACAAAAATAGTGAGCCAAGTCTGGTTGGATATATATATATATATATATATATATATATATATATATATATATATATATATATATATATATATATATATATATGTATATATGTATATATATATATATGTATATATATATATATGTATATATATATATATGTATATATATATATATGTATATATATATATATATGTATATGTATATATATATGTATATGTATATGTATGTATATATGTATATGTATATATATATGTATATGTATATATGTATATGTATATATGTATATATGTATATGTATATATGTATATGTATATA